GGTGTTAAATGTTAAAATGAAGAAGAAAAAGTATCATTTTTAGCTTTAAAATGTAACAAAATAAAAGTAAAAGTAGCTATTTAAAAAGATAATTGGTAAAATAACAAATCCTCAAAAAAGAATAAAACTACTAAAGTACTGTAACAAAGTAAATGTACTTAGTTACTATAAACTTCTGATTATGCCAAATCTCTTAAATGTTAAGATTTKTTTCTCACTTTTCATATTTGTAGAAAAAGCATGTTACAGGCACGTTAATGATCTGTGAATCTTTTGGAGTYGACCCAATTCAAGATGGCCACCACATCCAACTGAACTTSAAACACAAAAATATCTATAAGTTCTACAGATATTGATCTAAATTTGGTTTGGTTGGCAGTAGCTGAGTCTGATCTCCAATGTATATGAAAGCTAACACACCTCACTGGATCTCCTCCTATGAGAACCTGATTAACTTTATTATGGTCCASTTGGTACTCGTGCTCATTGTTTGGTTTGAACTGCAGGCGCCTCAGTGGTTAGACAGTGACTCGTGTCARAAGTGTGAGCAGCCTTTCTTCTGGAACATCAAGCAGATGTGGGACTCCAAGACCCTGGGGCTCAGACAGGTAAGCGGAGCTGGACCCATGCTGGTTTTTGTTCACCCAGTGTGAATGTATCTGTTCATATGGATGTGTCATCTCCAGCACCACTGCAGGAAGTGTGGCAAGGCTGTGTGTGGGAAATGCAGCTCCAAACGTTCCACCTTCCCCATCATGGGCTTTGAGTTCCCTGTGCGGGTCTGTGACACCTGCTTTGACACCATCAAAGAAGAGGAGTGAGTAACAGTCCTCTCCAAACAACAGGTCACACAATGCGTTTGTTTTACTGAGGGAAACCATGTTGTCTGTGTGTGTAAATATGTGTGTGTGCAGCCGAACACCGCTGGCCACGTTCCATGAGGGGAAACACAACATCGCCCACATGGACATGGACCCATCCAGAGGCCTGATGGTCACTTGTGGAAGCGACCGCATTGTTAAGGTCAACAAGAGTCCTTTGATAGCAGATACAGTAACTCGTGTGTATTTGTGTTGTTTCAAACACGGAGCCTTTGAGCCAACGCTCAAAGCAAAACTACCAGAGGCTAATACTCCAAACCTCTGCACAGAATCGTGTTCGGGAACTAGAGTCCTACRGGCACAAGCCGGAAAAAATATATATTTTACAGTTTTACAGCATCTAAATCTTACTGTTGTGCAAATATATATATACACACTTTTTAGGCTTTTAAATTGCAGTGATTTGACTCATTTATGTTTTATTTACAATTCAGTTGTGACGTTAAGAATGATCTACTGGCAGACTGATCCACTGACAGAAGCATTATATTCATTATTATACTGTATGTTTCTTAGAAGAAAAATTCAAAATTAGCTTCTAGTATAATTTCAGACCAAAAGAGTCATTCAGACCAAAAAGGTACCACCCCCCAACCGCCACCACCACACACACACACACACACACACACACACACACACACACACACACACACACACACACACTGTATTTTCATTCCATTCATTTTTGTAACTATATTTATGCCTAACCCAGACGTTTTCACTAGAATGAACCATTACTGGTCTATAATTAACTCTAACCTGAACCAAAACTTAATTCACACCATACCTCTAAACCAGGGGTGCCCAACCTTTTTTGAACCAAGAGCTACTTTTGAAGTCGGCAGTTTGCCGAGAGCTACTCGTCCAGTCTCCGTATCAAAAAACATAATTTTTCATCTCCCTACTCCTCACTTCTTTAAAGTAAATAAAACAGAACGTAATGTGTTGCTACTTTTATTTAATTTAAAGTATTGTCAAACAAAACTATCTACTTAACCATRTATTTACCTACAAAAAAAGAAGAGATAAAATCCTTACTTAACTCCTGACAGAGAAACAGAAAAGTGATGCTTGAACAAAAAGGATCATTTTTTTAAATCTCCTTCATTTAGTACTCTCTGTAAGGTGCAAGCTATGAGGACTGGAAACCCTTTCCAGTGAGAGAACCACAGAGTCAAATAACTTTGGAGCACAGGAACTCGTCTCAATTTATTCAGAGAACTCTCCTCTCTTTTCTCCATACAGGGGAGGAAAAACAAAACAAAAAACTGTCAAGGTCAACATGGCTACCACAAGAGTACCGCCCTTTATTTCAAAGTTAAAGCACACAATATAAAACTCTCTCGCAGGCTGTTATAAAACCAGGTGCTGAGCTTCCAGGAAAAGTTTCACCTGATCAGATCTGTTCCTTTTATTGCCTGGAAGTGATCCATCAGRTGGGTTTCTGAATTTTATGCATTTTTGCAGAAATATCGCCCGCCAGGGGTTTCTGGCTAAACCCAGGCAGGAGAGCGGGTGCTGGATGCATGACTGCGGTTCCACCTCACTGGATCTCTTCCTTCCTCTCTTCCTCTTCCTTCACACCCGGATCCGACGCTCAGAGCCGGAGCTAGAGGCTCCGGAGTAAATTGAGTACTATATCGCCTGCCAAAGCGCCTTTTTCGGTCGGTCGTTAGTTAATAGCTCCGCGGGGGAACGTCCCAGGATCTTGCAACCACCTTCAGTTCACTTTCCCGGATCCGATGCTCAGGGCCCACAGGAGAAGCAAACGAAGGTTGAAATGTCCTCCCAAAAATGCGCTAAAAATGCACTAAGTTGTGCGTAATTTGCTTATAGCTCGGCGGGGGAATGTCAGAGACTCCATTCAAGTATCAGCTTGTAGGAGCCACTCCGGGATTCTATGCTCCTAGCCCAGGGAGGGGGGCTAAAACCACCCTTGGCGGAGGTTCGACTGTGCGTAATTTTGGAAGTTTTGCGCTTATTTCTCCGCGAGGGAATGTCGCAGGGACTCCAATCAACTTTCTACTTGTAGGACAGAGCCAGGTCTTTAAAACCCGACCAGCCACACCGGGATCTGACGCTCCTAGCCYGGGTGGGGGGTAAAACCACCCGGCGGRAGGTCCGACGGTGCGTATTTTGGAGGTTTTTTGCTCATAGCTCCGCGGGGGAACGTCACAGGGACTTCAGTTAACTTTCATCTTGTGGGGCAGAACCAGAGCTTTCAAACAAGACCAACCACTCTGGGATCTGACGCTCAGRAATGTTTTGGTCTCAGTTTGAACAGTTTTAATATTTAACGTAGTGTTTTTCTAAGATTCGTGGTTTCATTAGTTCTTTTGCTTCACTCTAAATAAATCAATAAAATCCAGTTTTCCAGTAAACAAGTGGAGCGAAGGCGATCGATGGTCCTGATGAATACACTCCTTGAGTCCTAACAGCGCTGATGTTTGGTGTCTTCACAGATCTGGGATATGACACAGGTGGTTGGCTGTAGCTTAGCAACAGGCTTCTCCCCGCGCTGATTGGCCCAGCCCACTACATGGCAACCCGTCTGGCTCAAGCCTGCACCTCCCTCCTCGACTCAACAGTGTCATGGAAACCCCTCTGTACAGTCCACGTCCGCAGGCTGGGCCTCAGTGTGTGTGTGTGTGTGTGTGTGTGTGTGTGTGTGTGTGTGAGAGAGAGAGAGAGAGAGAGAGAGAGAGAGAGAGAGAGAGAGAGAGTACATCTGCATGTAATGTTGTCGTCACTAACTTTCAGTCTGAAAGAGTTTGACTGATTTAGACATTTTGATCTGACTTCAAACTGAACCTGAAGCACAACTAGGTGTGTGTGTGTGTGTGTGAGGACTTGTATTGATGTTAGTGTTTGCACTGATGATATTTAATGCTTTTTCTTTTGACAAAGGTCTTTTTTTTTGTTAGATTACAACTGGACTTTGTCTTTAGCGACCTGTCGTTCTGTGAAAATGTGCTGGCTTCTCTTCTGTGTGGCCCCACTAACTGCATTTTACTGATTCTGTCGCCTGCTTCACGTGTAAATAGACGCTTAAAAGTTCTTTCTTTAACACTTTGTGGCCTTAAAACATTATCTCAGGAGGTTTTGCATCGAGTCGTGTTGGTTGTGGAATTACTGAAGTCTCCTCCTCCTCCTCCATGAGCAAAGGAAATCCCCTGCTAAAGTCGGGTGTTTCTGCATCAGCACCGCCTCCAGCTCCTCATCCAGAGCCAGGCGCAGAGAAAATGATAATGCGTTGCCTTAGTGACGAGCACAGACGGTAGCAGCATCCTGTTGCAGCTGTTCTGAGGCGTCGCTAATAGAATGACCTTCTAAGATGACGGTTTCTTACTAAAGTGGGCTGAAAGGGTCTAACCGATCCACACCCACCCCTCAGATTTAAAGAGCCTGTGACATGGATATCCTTCAAATACAGAGTCAAAAAACATCTTTATACTTATGAAAATTGGCATAATACACATGATTTTACCCATTTTCTTTTGAATTTGGCTCAAAGTGAAACAGGAAGTGACATCACAGGGGAACTCTTTAATAAAATAAACYCTCTGGTCTTTGTTTATTGAAACAATATTATTTAAGCTTTAACTCTTCATCTCTCTCTGATAGTGACTCAAAATAATATAAAGAAACTGATTCTTCTCTACAGTCTGTGTTGTAACAATGCTCTGTTTTCACGCAGACTTTCCCCTTTGACATCACTTCCTGTTTCTTCACATGCAAATATCTCAACAACCATTCATCTCAGTGTCATGAAATTTCTTTAGCAATATTTTGTCATGGTTGCCTTTCCAAAAATGAATTCATGTTTATTACAAAGAATTCATGTCACAGGTACTTTAATGGCAACACTCCAAGAAAACATGACACCTAATGCTGGGTCTAGTGGCGTAAAATTGCCGGCAGAAAGTTATTAAGGTACTAGACAGGTACTCGAAGTAAACATAGCTGCAACCTCTCCTGGTTTGAAGCGTCTGCAGTGAAAACTCTGCTCAGATGAGGACCACTTGTGTTCCTTCAAAAGGCCTTAAAAAGACGACGCCTTTTCAGCCCTTCACTGAACTCATCGCCTCTTTTCTTTTTCTTATATTTCCTTTCCACGCAGCTGTGCGTGTAGGTTATAGTAACGCTCAAAACTAATCTGCACGACCCGTAGTTACGTTAAAACGTGTTTTTGTGAGTTGAGGCAGGAGGTCATAGCTCCATGTAGCTGAAATCATTTACCGGTCGACTAACGCTTGCCTTATTGTGAGGGGAGCGTGGGGACTGAGCGTCATGTTTTGATTTTGTTTAAATGTAGCCACATTCCACTTATTTTTTGATGCAGTGTATATTTATGTTTGTAGAAAAGTATTTATCTCATTATAAATCCATTTCTGTCTGGATTTTAGTGTTAGCGTATCAGAACATGTCTTTAATGAAGCAAACCGTTGAGATGTTTCACATGCAAACATGGACGATGAGAAACATCAGAAACTTGATCCACAGTATTACAGTTTGGTTTTAACTGAGAGGTGATGCAAATGTTTGTGAGTGGCTGATAAACTGCAGTGGTGTTGTAGAATTTCTGGTCACACATGCCTCTAAGATCGGATTATTTCTGGGTGACATTTCCTCCAGTCAAGGTTTTTTCCTCACCGTGAACACTGGGAGCTCCAGGATGAACCATGGCCTCGTGCTAACCATTATTGTACCTGTGCTGTCAAACAAGCTGAAAACAGAAAAACTTACAGATAAGACTAAAGTAGTTTCAGCTGAGGAAATTCTGATGTTTTGTAAAAAAAAGAAGAAAAAAAGGCAAATTCATCATCTAGTTACAGAAGCTGAGAGCGTATGTTTTCCGCAGATTATTTTCCATGGTTTTCTCGTGATAACGTCATTATCACAAAATAACTGTAACAAGTTAATTTCTCAATAGTTTTCTCAAGGTAACGAGCTGGTTTTCCTCTTGTGCATCATTTGGTAACGATGGAGATAGCCCGATCCCCTCAGCTGGTCTGATGAAGTTTACTGTCATAGGCTGAAACTGCAGTCTGTCTTGTACAGATAACTTTGATATCATTAAAGGAGACAGCTGACCTGATAGCAGCTCAGCAGGCGATTAYACTTAACTGATAAACCTTATTGTAACCAGATGAGAGGACCAGGACATCTTCATGGTTAACAAATGCTGCACAAGAGGAAAACATAACTCATCTCAACAGAATGCTCATAGTTTTTTCGTGATGATGAAATACGTCGTTATCACGAGAAAACCATAGAAATAAATGAAATGCGGAAAACATCCGCTCTCAGCTTCCGTATCTGATTCAACTCTGACTTTTTAMTATCAGTAAAAAGGGATAGTTTGGTAATTTTTGAAATGATGTTCTTTCAATTTATTATCAGTCATGGAGCACAGAGTATGGAGAAAATGGCAGACGAYCTCACCCAGGCTAGGCTAATGAGATAATTTCTTTCCAGCATATTCCAGATCTACAAAACAACTTAAATATCATACTGTAAAAGAATGCTACATTAACTAATATTAAACCTCCAGTCTGATTTATGGCACCATTTTAGTTGGTAGCCATTTGTTTCAACCCAACATCCATGTTGTGTAAATGTGTGTTCTGAGCTGTTCTATGGGCTGATGGTGCTGAGAGGTTGCTGGGTGTATCAGTCAACATGTGAACTGACTTGACTAGTTCTGAAAGTTGGGGTCGGGACCCATTTGTGTGTCACAAAACACCAAGTGGAGGTCCTTAATCTCCTTAAAGTATGTATATATATATATGTGTGTATATATA